GCGAAAACAACAATTTGCTTAAAAGTAAATAAAGTAATAAAAAAATACCACCATTAAATTCCCCCTTACCCTTTCGAATCCGTCTGAAAGTGAAATCTACGGACTAACTCACCGCCATCCTCAACTACCTCAGCCACCGCCATCCTCCGACTCGTGGCGACAACCCCGCCGGTTATGTTGCCTCTCTCCAATAGCCTCTTAACTCAACTATTCAGCAACCCAATTCCATAAATCAACAAACCCACCCTTTCGTACCTCAATACAACCTCTCTCTCTCTCTCTCTCATAAGAAGGAGAAGAAGAAGCAGAGTGCTGAAATTGCATTCCGTTGAGCGAATTCCAACATCAATGCTAGAATTTATGCTTCAAATTCAGTACCAGCTGCTTGGTTCCTACCTCTTAATTAGTCCACCCCACATGTCTCTCGCAGCCACTGCAAGGCCACGATCCAGAAATTGATTAGAGAAGAATCCCCATTCGAAAACCATCCGCCGCGGAGAGGGCCTGATGTTGCCGTGCAGGACCTCGACGGGGTTATGGGAGGAGGCGCGGATGCTGAGGGAGACGAGGGTGGAACATCTTGTGTGCGACGTAGTCGGATTTGTGGACGCCGGAGAAGAAGATGATGTCGGAGGAGACTCAGGAGGGTGGCTTCATCGAGAGATGGCAGAAGAGGGGGATTGAATACGAAAATGTGGAGGTTGTCGAGGGGTTTGGTGGCTGGGTAGAGGTCGAGGAAGGGTTTCTTTCTTTTTTATTTTATTTTATTTTTTAAATTTAGTTGAGAATAAATAAAATAAAATAATAAATTATATGACTCAGCAATTTTCTTGACACGTCAGAGTCAACAAACAGCTGACCGGATGAGAAGTTAACGGTTTGGCTAATAAATTATTTTTGAAAAGGTTTGGCTATTATTTTGTTTAAAACAAAAAGGTTTGGCTAATAAATTGTATTTACCCTAACATTTATTTAGGTAGAAGAGTACTTTATTGACTTACTCCCACATATTTTAAGATTATTTAATTCAGTTGCGTATGGAATGATGACGACTTCTTCTATTTTCTAAAAAGATTTCTCGGATTTTATCAAAAGATAACGTGAGTATGGATTGATTTTATGTTTAAAATAAGTCTCATGTGTAAGCACGTATTTCCTCAGGGGTAGGTTCGATATAGAACTGAAAGGGATTATTTACTCTTAACGGTCAAAGCGAACCCCTTCTTTCCGAATTAAAGATTAAAGAGGATTCCTCACTTCTTTCTCTCATTTAAAACCATGCATGAGATTTTCATATTGGACGGCTCCTACAAGCTAATGAAGAGTTTACATAATCCTTAGGATAACTCTTTTCGAATTCATGCATGACAAGAAACCTATTGAACAAAAAAATTATATTTAATTTATAATTTTTATCTATTTTCATTTTGATTATACTTTTAAATATGCCAAAAAATGATTAAATGTCTCTGCGACGTAGCCGTGGGTATTGATTCTACTTGTTTTTTTTTAATGAAAAGCAAGATTTGTTTCATCAAAAGTTCAGTCAAGAGCAAGCATCCTAATGCAAATGCACACATAACAACCCTATCATCATAATACTCTTGCTCTACATGTGGAACTAGCAACTTTTTCCAACAAATTTTCAAAAGAGTCGCTAGTATTCTCATATATGAAGCCAACAAATATTCCACACAAATGAACACGTATTAATAACCATCGAGCAAATATTCAAAAGATCGGAAGAAGTCTTCATCGTATTCGGACAAGGATTCAAAAATAAGAGAGCACAAGAGAGAGGAGGAAAGAAGGGGAAATGAAAGAAATGTGGGACCAACCCACTAAAGGGGTACATGTCTCCTCTCCTTTTTTTCTTCTTCTTCTTACATAAGCTCATCTCAAAAGCAATCTCAACTAGGGATGACAATGAGTCGGGTTGGGTCGGGTTTTACCAAACCCAAACCCATGGATTTTTCCGTCAAAAAAATTCGTGGTAAAACCCAATGGGTTTGGAAAACTCAACCCAACCCGTTGTCTATCCGCGGGTTCATGGGTACCCATGAGTTTTTGTGGTAAAAAAATTTACAATAACAATTTCATATCAAAATACAATTCAAACGTCAATTTTCTAATACAAATTATCCATACATAAAAACACTACTCTAGAAAATTCAAACAAATCACAATTACACTAAATAAAAGCACACGGAATAAGTGTAGAGAGAGTTAGATTGGGGGAAATTAGAATTAGTGTAGGGTTTGGGGAGAGTAAGGAGACGAAATAAGTGTGGGCGGGTATCCATGGGTCGGGTATCCCTAAACCCAAACCCAACCCGGTAAATAGTGTACGGTTTAAACCCGAACCCGGCTCGAAACCCGTCAACACGGGTTTTACCCGCGTTATCCTCAAATCATAAGTGAGATCCCTAATCTCAAACCTCAAATCATAAGTGAGATGTGTCATTCAATCTCACCATTTGAGCACAGTAACAAAATTGCATTTGAGTCACTCGCGATCAACAACCTACCTACCCGAATAAACCTACAAGTATGAGATTTTCCGATTAGTAGCTCGCCCCTATAAATCGCTAGCTCACAACGATTTAGATTATTTACGTGTGGCTTAATATCAAATCGTTATTCAGTCACCCAAATACTCACCTATCAAATTGTTTGAATCTTTAATTGTTGAAGTATAAGATTAAGAATGGATTGGGGACCAAAGGTAAGATAGACTAACGGTAAGCTGTCGCAACAGTGAAGGCTTGGGAGTTGCAGATTCCAGGTTCAATCATAGTGAGGCCCGTTGGTGTTTCTTGATGTATTAGACTGCTGAGGGTAAGACCCTGTTGGTGTCGAAATTGATTGCAGGTGGCCCTCGGATTTAATAAGCTCCGTTGTTACAAAGTGGCACGTGGGCTGAGAAAAAAAAATGTATTGGGACAATGGGCCATTACGACCCCATAGTCACAAGATTCTGAACCCAATGATTTTGAGAGGGCAAGAAAATGACTTCTTCGACATATCTAACATCTTTGTTAAGCATTTAAACTCATTGTCTTCAAGAATCGATAATACGTGATACCTTGCATTGCACAGCGACTGACCTCCTTCCATATTTTATACTTCCGTTCCATAGAGTCTGGTATAATATTTTGTTCGCCATTAACTTATTCAGACAGCCATGGCAATATCCAACTCCACAATACAAGGTAACCCCCATCCCACAATTTCTCCTTTTACTTTGCCCTTTTCGTTTCCCTTCTCGGTATGAATTCCGATGTTATTTTGTTGGCTGAACGTCGAAGCTTGAATTGGGATGTCTTGAATGAATCGAAGAAATGCATGATCTGTAAATAATCCTGCTCTTTGAAAATGTATCATGCAGAGATAGATTTGAGTTTTCAGGGGAAGGGTTTGGAAGAAACAAGCGATTTCTTCCAGAGGAAATGCAGTTCTTGTTCAGAGGAACAGTTAGCCTTCAACGGAGAAGCAAAGGCCGAAATCGACTTTGAACAGAATGTTGATTCTGGCCAGCCTGCAGCTTCCCCTCGCAGATCTGATCCCCTTGATTCCGAACTTAATTACAAACCGAAAGACGTATTGTACAATGAAGTTGATCGCTGCAAAGGTGAATCTATAACAAAATCTCCCTGCAGCAATGGTGGAGAAACACAAACTTCTGCTGATCATGCACAGGAGTCCCTTCTTACAGTAGATGACAGCAATGCCGGCGACGTTAACGATGATACGAAGCTGGATACAACGGGAGTTGCACCTTTCAGGGAACAAGTTGGATACAGTACTGATCAAGGTTCTCCTAACGTCAACAACTCACTGTCCACCAATGAAGCCGTCCAAGGAAATTCGATGGCACGTAAGGATAGACGACCTCGGTCGCCTGGAACGTCGTGTAATGAAGATAAGGAAGCTGGTAGTGGTCAGCATCATTTGTGTAGCTCCACTGCAAGAATAACACCGGCTTCCCCAAAGAGGTTAAATCATAAGCATAGTTCTTCTGCATCACCGCAAGTACACAACTCACCAAACAAGCATAGCAGGCATGGGCGTTCGAGGTCAAGATCACCCATTAAGCAAAGGGACTCCAGTTCTGGGCACAGGAGAGATCGGCGAAGCAGGTCTCGATCAAGATCTCCTAGGTGAGTGCATTGTTGTTTCTTTGTATCTATTTGGAGTTATCCTCAGACGGTAAGTACTCAAACACCACTGGTGTCCAGTCAGACAGCTTCTTAATATGGTGAGCATGTGCTAATTCCATTGTTATGTGCTTACAGAACAAGGCATTCGCCTAGGAGACGATCTCCTACTTCAGGACGTTATCACTCCAGCCGCTACTCTCCTCTTCGGAGATCTTGGGTACCTCCTCCCAACAGGAGAACCGGATTTGGAAAGCCTGGAAATAACTTGTTCATTGCTGGGTTTAGCTTTTTGACAACAGAAAGAGATTTGGAAAGGAAGTTCTCTAGGTTCGGACGCGTGCGTGATGTTCGTATCGTGCGTGACAGAAGGTAAGTTGATGCAGCAGGTAGGTTACTGCATATATAGCAACTAATTATTGATGTGATAGCTCCTTTTCTACAATCCTAGAAACTGGGAAATGGCTTCTGTTATGGAAGAGTACTAAGTTGATTTAGTAGAATGTTTCAATGATATGGCCGATTTGAATATTTGTTTGGTTGTTTGTTTGTTTGTCTATTGTTTGATTCCATACAACCCTTTTGTGCATGTAAGGTCTGGAGATTCTCGAGGATTCGGGTTCTTATCTTTGGAAAGGGATGAAGAAGCAGATGCTGCAATTAAGGCTCTTGATGAAACAGAATGGAACGGTCGGATTATTCTCGTGGAGAAATCAAAGTCCCACTGAAGCTCTGATACTGATGTTGTTCCCTTTATCTGGTGATATACTTCTGGCATTTCATTCTTTTATTTCAGACATATGTTGCTTTTATGATAGGCCTGTCGATCTCTTCCCATTGTAACTTGAAAAAAAGCAGCTAACATAAGGAGATGTCATCATAGTTTTGCTTCTGGTTGTGAAGGTTTCAACGGAATTTGAAACACATTAGGTCATTCTCATTGGTTAATCAATGGTCAAAACTAGTATTCTTTGTTTAAGATTCATTCCAAAGGGTACAGATCTGGTTATTCATGTCTGCAAACTGCAGACTGCAGAGGGTATTCCGGTTCTAAGAAAAGGAAAAAAGAAAGACTGTCCACATTGCCAGCAGCGTATATTGGTATTGGGAGGAAAGTTGCAGCAGTATAAATGCTCTCTCAGAAGAACCAAGTGCCATGGTGCTCATTTCACCGTTACGCTTACAAGTTAGGAGGAAAAAGGATCACTTATACTAATCTTACAACTTGTTTTCTTGTCAAACTCAAATCTGCTGTAACAACAGATACTTTTAGAAAAAATTCAACTTATATATTCACATCGCTTATGATTCTTGCTTGTCAAAACAACCCAAATGAAAGCCTCGCAAGTATCTCAAAAGAGGGAGGAGGGCTGTCTCAAGTTCTATGCTTTCAGGTGTTTCAAAGTTTATATGCGTTCATTCAGGTGCCTGAATGAGGATGAAACCTCCCTGCCCTGATATCCATTGTGGTTGGAAGAAACTCACATGGAGATGGAGAATGATAAGGCAGCCACTGCACTGGTGGATTTAGAAAAGCTTGGCCTGATGAGGTGTTCCACTTCTCATCATAGCACAGAACTCTTCATAGTTGATTCTACCATCCTGGAAATTCCCAGAAAGTTTTTCCAGCATTAGTATAACTATTTGAGGTACAAGGCAAGGATAAGTGCCCCGAGTTAGAGATCAGCTTACATTATCGGTATCTACTTCAGCTATGATTTCTCTGATTGTTGCATCATCTGCTATACCGTAGTCCTTCATGGCCATCTCTAGCTCATCTTTAGTTATAAAACTGCAAACACATTTGAGAAATTCATTAGGTTGGTCAGTTCAAGATTCTTCAGAGGCATAAATGTCAATAATTTTCTGCACCGCGGACTTACCCACTGCTGTCCTTGTCGAAGTATTGGAAGGCTTTGAAAAGATGTTCATCTCTTTCTAATCTATGTCTGTGCATGGTAGCCGTGATGAATTCAATGTAATCGATTGTCCCGTTTCCATCAACGTCAGCCTGAAATTTCAGAACCGAGCCTAAGTTAGTTATCCATGAAGCCCATCATCACCTAAAAGAAGTTTGAGATGTTCAATTTTCTTACAGCCTCCATGAGCTGCTTCACTTCAGCTTCTGTGAGCTTCGATCCAAGGCGAGCCAACCCTGACTTCAGTTCTTCATAGGTGATCGTGCCACTATTGTCAGTATCAATGTTAGCAAACATGGATTTCAGCCCTTGGATTTCGTCTTTAGAAAGGTTTTCAGCGATGACCTGTAGAAGAGTTTTAAGCACATTATCATAAGCTGATTGTTTAACAAGAGCACAAAAATATTTCATCCAGTGTCATCTCTTAAGCATAACCGTGCCTGCCTAAAGCAAATCACTTTTAACCTATACCTTCAAAGCCAGTTTCTTGAGCTTGTTCATTGCTCTGAATTGCTTCATCCTAGAAAGGACTGCACTGTCTATTGGCTTATCTGAAGCTTCTCCACCTTCCTTGAGCCAGGGATGATCTGCATGAGCAAATAGAAATCCAGAACAAATTTCGATTAAGTCCAACATTCACAATTACAAAAGCGAAAAACTCAGGAGAGAAAGAAATACCCATACCAAGGACTTGAGCAGCAGTAATTCGTCTCTTAGGATCCTGGGTTAGCATTTTCTGAACCAGGTCTTTTGCACTACTCGAGATAACCGGCCAGGGGTGACTTTCGAAATCAATGTCACCTTGCAATATGGCGTCAAAGATTCCCTTCTCATTCTCTGAATTACAATTGTCAAATTACAGCACAATAATTCAGTAACTCAACTCAAAACCAGGCTCCTCCAGCTAGTTAGAAGTGAATAGGAGAAGAGGCAAGTTCACTATGAACTCGACGAAATATCAAGCAGATATATATGCAGAACTCATCATGTTACCTGCCCAAAATGGAGGCACACCACTGAGCAAGATATAGAGTATAACCCCAGCACTCCATATATCTATTTCCTTGCCATATTTGCGCCTCAATACCTCAGGAGCAACATAATACGCACTCCCAACGATATCCCGATACACTTTCCCTGCACATTGTCAAACGCAGGTTTCATCAGCCGCAATGCTACTTCCTGACAATTACCATACATGCACAGAATGACTAGCTTCCAATATGCAATGACCACTTTTTTTGGAGGCGTTACAGAACATACAACTCCCCAAGTAAGAAAGCAAAGATTGTGCACTTGCTGCCAAAACCCTGCACCGTTTCTTGATGTGCACACTGAGCTAAGCCTTTGAAACCCAGAAGCACCTGGCAATCTCATATGGCATCCTGTTATCATATACATTGATCGCTTTTGTCTGGCTATTTAACAGAATCATCATAAAATCATCCATACAACTATTTTTAGTAACCTTTTTCAGAACCCAAAAAAGGCAAATACTAAAAACCCACATCATATGAACACAGAACACCTGGAATTCGAAAATGATAGATCATACAACTGCCAAAAACAAAGAAGGAGAGAAATAAATATTTGTACCTTCTTCAATGAACACGGAGAGGCCAAAATCAGTAGCCTTGAGGAGAGCAGTGTTGTTATCTTTACTGGAGAGCAGGAAATTCTCCGGCTTGAGATCCCTATGCATCACACCCATGAAATGGCAAATATGCACCACATTCACAATCGACCTGCAAATCCCAGCAGCTTCCTTCTCACTGTAATGGCCCTTGGCAATAATCCGATCGAAGAGCTCCCCGCCGGCACACAGCTCCATGACCAGATGAACCGTCTGCTTATCCTCGTACGCGCCCTTGAACTCAACGATATTGGGCTGCCCGCTAAGGTGCTGCATTATCTGAATCTCCCTCTTCATATCCTCCTTGTCGTTCTTCGTGACCAGCTTCCTCTTGGAAATCGACTTGCAGGCGTACTGCTTCCCGGTGGAATTCTCGATGCAGAGGTAAGTAACCCCAAATTGGCCCCGACCCAGTTCTTTTCCGATCGTGTAGTGAAGCTTGACGTCCTCATAGGCCTTCCCGAGGATCGTATCGGGTCGCCGGGCCGGCTTCGGGCTCGGCGGAGCGAGGAAACCGGGCTTCTTTGGGGTCCGGAGTGGGGATTGTGGAGGAATCACATGGCCGCCGGCAGAGTCTCCGGTGGTCGGCGGAGGAGGAGGAGGTTTGGATGAATGATTGGTATAATCAGCAGGAGGCAGGTCTCGAGATTTGGGATGGTAATTGTTGTGATGATTGTTATCATTGTGGTTGTAGCGGAAAGCATCGCCGCCTCTGCCGCCTTTGCTTATGCAGTGACCCATTTAAGACCCAGCTGCTGCTGATAGCTTATCAAAATTCTGGATCAGCGAGTGGAAGAGGAAGAGGAGAAGAAAGGTGTCGTCAGGGGTTGAATTGAATTGGGGGAAGGTAGGTTTTGATTTGAAGAAAGATTCAGAGATGATGAGGCAAGAGTAACGACAGAAAGGAAACCAAGGGAACAAGAGATTCCAAAATAGGTGAACAGATATATGATTATAAAAAACTGGAGGAAGAAGACCCAGAAGAGGAATTGGAGTGGAAAGAGGTGGGAGACGATAAAGATGACAGCTTTGAGGTGGATCAGAAGCAGGCGGATCAATAAAAAAACAGTTTTCTGTATGTGATGGGGATATATAGTGGAAGCGAAGTGGAGGAGGGTCAGGTTCAGGGGATTTTGTTGTTTTTTAATTCGGAGAAGGAAGGAAGGGGCTTTTGCTTTAAATGGGGAAAAGGGGGGAAGCAGAGTCCGGAGTGCGATGTGAAGGGAAAGAAGAAGAAAGGAAGATGGTCAACTCAGCGTTTGGACTTGGTTTGTCAATTGGTGTTTGGATCCAAGTTATACTCTGCCGATTTCCCAGATAGCAAGTAATACGGAAGTAAAGATAAGAACTTAGCAATAATTTCGCTATTTTTAGATGATTCTGATGATGAAGGTGAATAATTGACAAGAAAAAGGGAGAGACGGCTGTTTCAGGTTCAGGTTCAGATTCAGATTAATCTTATACGCAAAACAATCTGGTCAAGGTATGGGAGAACTACTGGCATGTAAATACGTGTTTTAATTGGAGCAAAACGAGAATTGCTTTCTTCTTTGTTTCCCAATCAGAGAAATATTTAGATTTGCTCTGAAATTTGTTCCTGGTCTGGGAGGAAAGGCGGGAAGAAGCTTCCTTTCACTCTCTCTGTTTTCTTGTTCTTTTCACTTTGGAGGGAAAGCTGGAAAGGAAACAGAGGAGAAAGAGGGCGACTTGCTTACGAGATGCTACTTGTGAGCTTGGCCACAGCTTTAACCCGTCGATCGTATGCTCCTTAGGAGCATCTCTTCTCGGGTTGGCTCATGATTTGACAATGGCAATGGTAGGTAGTGCCATTGATGTGAGCACGCATTGTAAGCTTACAAATTTGGAGATGATTTGAGTGGCATTTTTTCACTAACACGTGCAATTTTGTAATTATTTACGTTATTTGGTATTTATTCACATAATTCGAAGCTTAATTAATCATGTTAGAGTTATGATTATTTACCTAAATGGGATTCCAAAACTTTTTCTTTTTCCCGCTTACTATTTAATGGAATTAAATTTGGATTTTCAAAGTTTATGTAAAAATGAGTTACATGGATCATAATCTAAAAAAGACAGACCTTTTGATATATTTCAAGATTTAAAATATGATTTTACTACGACATGAATAAATAACAATATCCGTCAATAAACATAAGGTTGTGTGAATAAACAACAATATGGGATGAATAAACATAAATTTACAATTCAATATTGGATGATCACTGATTCACTGTCCACTTAGGAGTTGGATGGTGTCCATGATATGCGATGATATCATCCACCAAGAGGTTGGATGATATCGATTATAAGGGATAGTACCATCCATTTAGGAACAGCGGCGGATCTAGGGGGGCCGCCCCGGGCCACGGCCCAACCCTCCCCTGGATCCAGAGCTAATATAGCTATTATAATTTTTCGATCTTTGGTGTTAGTTTCGGTGCTCATCGGGGTACGGCCCAGTCCTCTCTTACTCTTTTCAAATGTGGCCCAGTGCTCTACTCTATCTTGTATCCGCCGCTGTTTATGAATTGTATGGTATCAATGAGACTGGGCAGATGGTCACCAAATTATAGATGCTCAGTTAACTCTCGGAACTACCCAGTATCCACCAATTATAATGTTCAACCAAACAATCCGCTATATATATGACCTGGATTAACAATGTTTTGGGATTGTGGCCTGTGGGGGAGGAGTTACGGTGCTAATTGTATAAGAGTTAGCACCGTCCTAACCAAGGATTAGTAGTGATTTAGCTTAGATGTTGTATTGATTTTATAATAATCCGTAGTGATTTCGTTGTTTTTAGTAGCGCTTTTTGCTAGTTATCACGGTACTAACCCCTATAGGGGTTAGCACTTAATCCCATCCCCTGTGGGGTCCTCTGGGAAATATCACCCGCCGGCCGCCAGTCAGTCAGGCAGATCGGTTTTGTTTTGTATCACAGCTGTCTGCCGAGAGATGGGTCGTTTCCTTTCCTGTTATGCTTTTGCTTTCACTTGGTTGGTTGGTTAATTACGCGGCTTGATGATATGATATGATCGACTGGCCGCTGGAACGGGAAGATATGCAATGCAAAGCAAGCAACAAGAGGAGAGTTAGTGACTTAGTGCTGAGCTGGGTTCGGTTAGAGTCGTACAAGGAAGAGAAAACGTGTGGTGATGTGGCCAAAGTGGGCCGGCCCACACTCGTTTTTTCCGGCTAACTGCGGTGCGGGGACCGTGAAGCATGGCCGGTTTGGCGGTTTGTCCAATTTCCGGTATACCCGACCTATAAATAACGCCCTACCATTTTCCGGCGGGGGTTGCTTGACTTTATTTATAGTTATTAAGTATTAAGAAACTGACATAATTTTGCACTGAAATGTATAGTTTTATGTTGTCAGTCACCATCATGGAGGGGATGATCTGCTTGCTTGGTTCCATTATTTCCGGTCAGTTGCATGTTGCGGAACGGTTCAGTTCGGTTGCATTGAAGATGGACGACCCTAGATAGATAGATACATGTGCACTTTTTGGCTCAACTAGTCACATGTGATATGCTTCAACAACTACTTTACAATAAGTTGTTAAAGCCTTTTATTTTTCTTTGGCTACGTAAATGCCACATTTGGTCACTGAGATTATTAGATTGTGTCATGATTAGTCACTAGAAAAATTTAATATCAATTGTGATCACTCGAATTACTGAAACATATCACATTTAGTCACTCTCCCGTTAGTTTTAGTCCAACTTCATTAATGGAGTTGGACGAAAACTAACGAGAGAGTGACTAAATATGACATGTTTCAGTCATTCGAGTGACTAAATGTGACATGTTTCAGTCATTCGAGTGACTGGAGTTGGACGGAGGCTAATGGGAGAGTGACTAAATGTGACCTGTTTCAGTCATTCGAGTGACCAAAATTAATATTAAATTTTTCTAATTACTAAACAGGACACAATTTAGTAATCTTAGTGATCAAATGTGGCATTTACCCTTGTTTGTGGAGTTTGATGAATATCGGATCTTGACACGCTATAAGGGATGAGATACGGTGACAACCCCTTTAGAGGTTGTGAGATTCACAACCCACTTACTAACCGTTGGATACACTCTCTCTCCTGACTCTTTCTTCTTTTTTTTAAGTTGATGGTTAGGATTAAAAGAAGGGTATTTTTAGAAAGGAAAAATGTTACCACACCCAATCATTCTCCCTCCCATATAAATAAAATAAAAATCCTAACTTCTCCCTCTCCCTCTCCCCATCATCTCTCTCTTTCCCTCCTCCCTCTCCAGACGGCACTGCCGCCGGCCTCCACCACCGCTGCCGCCTCTCTCCACCCAACACTGCCTTCGCCGCCCTCCACATTCCGTCATGTCCATAGCCCGCCGACACTTCTCTCACCCCCAGCCGAGCCCTCCACCGTCGCCGCAATCCTCCGGCGCCCTCCATCCCCTGTCGTTGCCAACTCTCTATTGCCACCGTCGTGCCTCCTCTCCTTACCTCTTCCAGTGTGAGTCCCTCTGCCTCTTTGTGCCTCATCTCCTCTCCTCCTCTTCGTTTTTCATATCTGTGATTTTTGGATTTTCAGATCTGGTTTTTTTCTAGTGGTACTGATTTTCTAGTGGTAGTGGTACTATATGGAGTGGTAGCTGGTAGTGGTACGCTATCACTATCATTTGATACCAATACCATCTGGTACTTGGTAGTGGTATGATAACACTACCAGGTACCAGATGGTAGTGGTACCAAATGATAGTGGTACACTACCACTACCAAGTATCAGAAGACAGTGGTACACTACCACTACCCGGTACCAGATGGTAGTAGTACGTACCACTAACGTACTGACAAAGTTTTAATTTTTTACAAGTGGCCGGAGCGAGTCGTATTCAATGATCTTGCCGGAGAAAGTCTGCCGGTGGGAGTGGAGTGGCTGCTTGAAAAGGAAGAGAGAGATAGGAAGAGAGGGTTGTATTTATTGTAGGATTCAAAATATAAAAAAACATGTATTTAATGTGGATTTTTAATTCCCAATCTGTAGTTAGTAAAAAAATTAATTAATAAATTCGTTTTTTTGTCATACGCAAAATACCCTTGGTTGTCAATCTCACAACCCCTTTAAGGGTTGTTACCGTATCTCATCCCCACACTATAATTAATCAGACGTTATGTGATTTGGGAGGAAGCTTTAGAAGAGGGGTAGAAGAAAGTTGGAGGTTCAGAGAAGGGTGTGAAATTGTGAATAGGGTTAGACAACACTTGGTAAGTTACTATTAGGGTAAATTATATCTTTGGTCATTTAATTAATTGATTTTTTAATATTTGTCACCCAAAACTTTTTTTCTTACTAGTTAATAAATTTATATTTTATTTCATCAATGATCACTCGCCATCCAACTCCATTGAATTAATTCTAGATGACAATCGATGGTTAATCGTTAAGTTGCTCACGTAACAATTAAAAATAATAAAATAAATATGAAGGGAAGCTCTCCACTACGGCGGTTGACTTCCTATTACCTACTTTAAAGATTAAAGTAAATTTAATATCTTATAACTATATCAAAGGTACAATTCATTGATATTAATACAAAAGTTTTCTTACCAGAAAACACCTATATTGTTTGAGCCTAGAATGTTCTAGGCGGTTGATGAAGCACGAGCGAGGCGTCTGTTCCTGGTGAAGGGTAGAGGACTCCTGGATCCTGCAAGACAACAGCCCCTGGGCGGTCGCCCAGGAACTCTCTGATGCTTAAGTTAGATAGAGAAATGAGAATATGTGATATGTTTAGTGAGAGGGAGTAGTTGAGTTACCACCAATGCTCATGTGAGAAGTATTTATACTCAATCAGGTTAGGTAATGAGCATTAAATGATATGTCAGGGGGCTTAAGCATGTCCTATCTAATAAGCGTCGCTTACAGCGGATAATTAATGCTCAATCTTACTCATATCGAGGTAATCATTACCTCAAATCTTGCGGCCCCTATCTCTTATCAGTGCTTTATGTCAGGCGGTCTACTCCCATCACATCATAGGTTAGACCGCCTACGGACCAAATGAGCGATGCTGTCAGAAGAGTTAGGTGGTCCATACAAGGACCGTCTTCTCCATTTGCATTGGGTTGGGCAGCTATGGGCTTCTCTTTGTGCCTCGAAGCCCAGTATTTGCTCAACACG